GTCTGTTTATAAAGATCCAGACCAGTATATAGACTTAATGGAACTTTGTTTGTCTGGGAATATAACAGCACAGCTTGACGTGCTTTGCAGACTGTTAAACCAGTCAGATCCAGGTTCAAAATGGGTCTGTTGGTGTGTGTAGTAAGACCTGGGCCTCTTCTGCTCTTCTTTAACTGTCAGTGTTGTGTCACTTCCTGTGTCTGAGAGGAAGTTGTGGTTTTCTGGTGAATGTGATAGAGCACACGACACAGAAAAAGATGTGGTTTGTGATGATCAGAAGGGGAGTAGTCATGTGCTTTTCATTTTGACAGAGAAAAACACTGACAGAGTGGGTGCAGGTAAAAGCTTCGGTGCATTAAAACGAATCAGAAAATCATTCCTGAGTTAAACCTTTTATCCACAACAAAAGATAGCACTGCTAATGGAAGAGAAACTCTAGGCTGGTTGATGTCGTACAGGACCAGTGGACAGAGACTCTTTACTATAAACTCCAGCTAACTCATTCTACTGATCTTTTTCTCTTGAAGTTTTAGAGTGACAGATCTACAAATCAAGTAGCATGTCAGAAAGAAATACTATCTCTTCAGAACAAGGACGCCATCCTCCCCTCAACAAGCTTACACATTCACACCCATGTATACTCACACAAATAACAAATGGTCTTGTGTGCAGATGATTCTGATTATGATACCAGCCGAGCATCTAGGCACATTGGGGATTTTTAATATTTACCATAGTAAACTAGGCAGCATGCTAACAGTTGGTAATTAGCACTATTTGGTGCCAGTTAACCGAATACATCTCGTGGCATTTCACTGGATAAGTGTTATCTTGGACCCTCTGGTGGTGGTATAGGAAAAGTCAGGGATCGTAAACGTCAGTAGGGTTCAGGCTCTGGGGACCATGAATCCTTCATGTCTGTACAAAATGTAATGGCAGTCCATCTAAAAGTTGACATATTTCAGTCTGGACCAACATGGTGGATTACCAACCTGATGGACCATCATCGCCATCTCACAGCCTTTTCGAAAGTAAAACAATGTTCCCAAATTGTCAGCGTGAGCATGAAGAAAACTTCAGTTAGAAATCTAACAGAGCACCTTCAGTTAATGGGCAGGAGCCTGGGTACAAAAGCTTCAAGTCTTTGCAGTGGAGTCACGTTGTGATTTTGTGACAAAACCAGTGTAGTTCAGTTTTTAGCCATTAGCTAATTGTTGGCATGTTACCTATACCTTACCTTTACAGGGCAGATACAAACAGAATGTGATTTATTAAATGGTGTATTGTCTGAAACCACTCAATCTTTTCAGACCTTTTTAAACGAGTTACAGCACTTCAAGGTTTTAGGACTTTAGCTCTGTATTTGACTTTTACTGTCCCCTGTTCCTGTCTTCCCCTCATATCAGAATGGATGAAATGTTTCCTCTCTGTCATGTCGTGTTTATACTTGAAAACACAATAAACCGTTAATATGAGTATAGCCTCCAAAAGTGTCTCCTGACCTACTTTCCAGCTTCCTGAGGAAGCGTCCTGAGTTTGCTTAAGGCTTTGCTGCTTAGGATGTGAACGGCAGTGCTGTTGACTGAGAGATTAGACACCTCATTCATTATATTCAGTGGTACCTGGGACTTAGACAGTCTGATTTCTGTGTATGATGAGCTTCTATGTTTCAGATGTCTGGGATGTCAGTGTGCAGCTTCTGTGACCTCTTCATCATTTCATCCAAACAGCGATTGTCTGGATTGTAACAAACTCTTTCATCACCATTTTTATGTATGTATACTTTATCATATTCATAAAATAGCACATAGAGGTGAGATGTAACTGTATGTGTGCTCTGTGTCCACACATGGCTGAAGATGTGGATTTTGTACGTATCAAGTAGAGCTTTTCAGCAGGGTCCAGCAGGACTTAGATGCCTATCTCTGTGTGTTGAGATGATGTGGCACAGATTCACCCAGAGGAAGTTTAGGATTTTTGGTGATTCATGTGAGCTCACGCAGAGGAGGGACAGATAGAGGCTGTATCACGGCACTCTCAGACTCACTGTCTATCTCAGATCTTCTTTCACTACATGTTTTATTGCATTTGCTGACTCACCAGCGCTGTAATTGTTCTCCTTTTTTTTTTTATTTTCTTCTTCAAAATAGCAAGAAGCCATTATGATTTAGAGCATGATACTAAAGTGTCAAACTGACAGAGATTTATTATATTTCTGTGTCATTTCAAAAGTGAAACTTTCACTTCATGTGCTTGATGCCACCTCAGCAGGAAGAGAAACAGTAGGAGGCAAACAGCCTCTGTCTCCATCAGGATTCCATAGAATAACGCTTCACTTTGCTCTTTGTTCCAACTGATATGCTTTCCATATGACGGTATGGAGGCTTTCTTTCAAGTAGTTTCCCTCATGCAAATCCCTACACAAAGCATGTTCCCCATCTTGCTGCACCTCTTTCTCATCTCAGCTTGGTGTAAGATGCAAAGCGATCCTAGGCAGGTCCTGACACTTTAGGAGCACATAAAGAACTTAAAGGTGTGGAATGAAAATTTATCAAAAAATGTGTTTTTCTTCAAGGAAAAAAAAGGTACACAAGGAGACATTTAGAAGCAAAATGATTCAGCTTATTTGAATACAAAATGTACACTAGGTTTTTAATTACTTCTTATTTCTTACAGTGTTTCCCACAGGTGTAGAATTTACTTGTGGTGGTGGGTGGTGCGGCATGTGACCAATGTGCATGTAGAGACTCATGCAGTTTAGAGGGGGAGAGTGTAACTCAGGTTATTTTCTGTATCTACGATTTACAGATGTCCAATTTCCTGTTCCTGCTACAGTTTATTGATGCTCCAGAAATGGAGGCTGTTGGTAGATGATAGGTAGGCGGCTGTTCGTAGAGAAGCCATTCTCGGTTACTGCAGCGTACGCAACTGAGACAGTGTGTGGCCATGAGCTTGAAAAGAGTGAAATAAGAAGTTCAAATGTAAGATTTACCTAACTTGAAACTGATTGATTATGTATGGAAAACTCAGTTTAAACTGATTTTGAACTGTATAAAACAACATGAATGGTATGAACACCTCAGGAATAAAGTAGTTCTGCTCAGTTCTTGATGCCATAAAAATCTGTTCAGTCTGTTCAGACACAAAACATATTACTGGTCCAGCAGCTTGAGCTCAACCAACGGTCCACAGCAGACTTTGGGACCCTTTGCACTGAGTGGATCACATGATGAACATTGTTGTTGTGTTATCAACTTTTTGTTGAAAAGAAAAAAAAAAAAAAATAGAGGCTGCTCGGGCTGTATTTTGTGGTACCCATACATGCTCATTTACAGTTTTCACACATTTACTTTTAGTGAAACGCCTGCGCTGTCGAGCCCTGCTACGCATTGTTTAGCCACATGTGCAAAACAATTCACTGTTCTTCCTTAGTACCATTAGCTGCAGACACCAACACTGACTGTCATCAGGCCTGGAGGGGAGGGGGATGGGAATGGGTGGAAATGGGGTGGAAGGAGAAGACAGATGTGTTTATAAAAAAAGACTGGAGGAGGAGGGAGGAGAGATGATGATGACAAAGTCTCCATCTAGATATTGTAACTTCTTCAAACTGGCAGAGCCTCCAGCAGGTACATTATTGTACATACAAGCAAGCTTTGTTCAAACCCACAGCTTATCAGTGATGCATAGTTATAGTCATTGGTACTGTTATGTTAGGAAATTGGCAGTGGGTTGTCTCCAAATCTGTTTTGTTTTGTACTGAGTTCTACAGTTAATTTGCTATGGATAGATTCATTTCCTCAAATCAAGAGTCAAATAAAAAATAAAAAACTGATTAAGAAAATAGTTGCAGTGAGATCAAAGAGAGACTAAAAGGAGGAGAAGTGTAACTTATGTAAGGGTTACAGAGAGAGTTTGGAAGGAACACACTGTTCTTATTAGGGTTGGACCAGTGGACAATGCCATCGTCCCCCTGCCTGGTCCACACTGATAGCAGGGAGCACCCAGCCACACATGTTCCAGTGTCTCTGCCACAATGTAGAAAAATGTGTTGAGAACGTATTTCTTATTTCTTACTTATTTGTGGGGATTTCCCCCGGGGATCAGCCATAGAACTGATATATGCATATGTATATTTTGAGTGTCAGTCAGAGCTCAAAAATGATGGACTTGTTTATTTTAGTTACTATAGGTCATTGTGCTTGAAATATAAGCTGAAAAACAGCTTATTTGAGTATGTTTTAATTTAGGCGCAAATATAAAACTTATTTTTAAATCCACCTGGTTTGCGTCGCCTTAGTAAATCAGGGGGCAAGTCTTTATTTGTGTCACAAAACTGAGGATTGAAATCTACCTACAGAGCGAACTTTCCTGTCTGTTATTCACCCTTTTTCACCATGTTTCGCTCTGCACATTTAACCTCACCTCCTCCCTGTCATCGTCCATTGCAATGTAGACATCATCATATGCCATTTCGGTAGTCACTGCCCAAACCTAGTACCTATGAAATCTATAAATGGAAAGTTGGAGGATTTTTTTATAAGAAAGAATCACGTCATGACAAAAGAAAACCAGAGGAGGGCTGGAAAGTTGGCTCTGCCTGACCTTCCTTATAATTCTATTTGGAGGTCTTTACAGTGTAATTCAAACCTCTGTGTGAATATATAATACATTGTAAAAAGGTTTTTCTCATTTGTGACCTACATAAAGGCTTATGTAAACTAACAATAATGTGGTCCAACTTAAATCAGCGGTAACAAAGCCAACAAAGACCTCGCAGTGAAAATTCACCAGACGTGTTCCCTTGTTGACATAAAAACCCACAACATGTAACAGATTTACTGTGGTGTTAGTCATTTCACATAAATCCTGTCAAATGAACTGGAGCAGGAGTTCATAAAGTTATCACAGAAACACACGTCTTCTGTTAAACGGTCTTCGTTTGCTGCACAGCTCAGTCAGAGTAATGTGGATTTTAATCTCCCCCTGTCTCACTGTAGAATATGGTGTGAAGACTGGCAGCAGACCAGGGAAAATCAGGAGAAGTCCGCTGCAGACCCTCTACAATGGAGACCAGGTGAGAGCGTAATGATTGAATAATTACTGATAACACAACACCACACAACCCCTGAAAAACATTCTTATTTTCGCTTAATGGGTCTTTTGTTTACCAGAATGATTTTCATTTTTGATGTTTGGCTACCTATGCAGACATCTGCTGCTGCACTGAATGGGTTTGTCCACTTCAAAACCATATTTACTTAAAGATATAGCTTAAAATTTTGGAAAATAGGCTTATTTGCATTCTGACCAAGAGGTAGATACTCCCTCTCATATCTGTAGCTTCTCAGTGTGAAGCTACAGCCAGCAGCTTAGCCTACCAGCAGCTCTAAAGCTCACTTATTCGCACACTATATCATGTTTATATACACTGTGTAGTGTAAAAGTCTTTGCCAGGAAGTCTTTGCAGATGTTAAACTCAAATATATTACTTTTCCTGTGGAACATTTATTGACATTGAAAGGGGAAAAAGTTACTATTCCCAGATTTCTCTGGAAATAATTGTATGACAGTTTTGGCATCTCAGTGCATGTCTCCGCTGTAGGACATCAACACGTGAAGGTCACAGTAACCTCAACACTGATCATCTGATGATGCTTATTGTCACATACAGTGTGTGGCTGATTGGATATGATTTGTAGAATTGATTCAAGGCCACTGAGGTCACATTGCAGCCTGTCATGTGACATACAGTGTAGTGAAGTGATTGCATTTCAAACACATACAGTAACAAGCTGCCCTGCACTATAAACAAGTCAAGTCAGCAGAGATACCACTGGTTTGTTTTTCTAACTTTAAATATATGTAAGTTTTAGCTTTTAAAATATAGCCAACGTTAGCGTTAACAGCTGTTTACTTACCAGTCTCGAAGAAACTTTGCGATTTCAGTATCAAACTTCATTCCTTTACTCGCCAAGAGCTGTTTCTAGCTGTGGACCCGTTACCGCAATAATCTCCAAGTCAAATCTGGACCTGCCCCAACCTGTTAATATAAATCCAACGACCCGACCCGTGATTAAACATGGGCTACAGTGCAGAGGGCTGCAACTATGTCTAGACCTCTGTCAGTCACATACATCACTTTGTATTTACCTAGTGCTTACATGATGACTGGTCTGTTTGCTTTATGTGCTGTCCCTTTCAGATCTGCGCTCGCTCAGTCAGCTCCCGCTTGTTGCTGATATGATGCAAAGTGACACAAAGATAACCGATCATCTGTCCACATGTCCAAAGTAACTTCCCTGTTGCTATCAGTCAACGGTTTCCTCCGTTCCCCCTCGGGCACTGATGACAATCAAGTCCTGTCCACTTTCACTGACACCGTCACCACACACAGTTTCAAACGATCTAATGTCCCAACACGCAAATTTGACCACTAACTGGGTCATGGAACTTCCTGTCATCGTGTTGGCGGTTTGAGAGTTTTGGAAGAATGTCACATCACCTGTACTCCTGCAACTGTCAGTGTGTTTCTTCAGTAACAGTGTGCCTAGCTTGCAGCTATCAAAAGCTAATACCTTATGGCACTTTTCACAAGCAGCGAAGTCAATGACAGCGTTATTCTCACAGTTTCTGATCACACCAAATTTTTTCCATATGTTCGACTTGGCCTGCGACGATGTATTGACCACATTTTGATATTTACCACTGACTATTTTTGCCTTTATGCCATCCATCTTGATGTTAGCTAGCTAGCAGCTATCCTACATCGCTGTAGGCATCCCATTATTTGGCTCAATGTGAATCTATGATGATGATGATATTAAATGATTTAGAATGTGAATCTACGATGATGATAATATTAACGCTGCCCGCCTGTATTTAGTTTACTTTTATGTAAATATATTTGTTACCCACTACACAACTTTTTTTTCTTCCTCTACTGAAGTGCTGCTAACCTGCTAGCCCCAGACCAACCAGCCCATCCTATCACTTTCCGGGAGTCACTGTAGCATCCAGTGTGTCCTGAATACGTAGCGCTGCTCAGAGGACGTATTACGACTTCCTGTGTTGTAAATGCAACGATGGCTGAAGCTCTTGTCAAGCAACAATCACCACCACCTGCTCCCAGCAAGAAACCATGTGTGGCGGCAGAGAAAACTGACAAATAGCTCTTTTAATAAGGACCATACTAAGTGTACTGCCTTTGAGTCAGCCGTAAACTTTATAAAATATTACAGTATGCAGTTTTTGTAAACTGCTTCAAGATATTGATGCAATCCACTTGTCTCAAAATATTAAAACTGTGTAAAAATCTGAGTCTTCCTCTGGACAGAAAACTGGCACTGCAGCAATTTTTAGGAGGTGTTTCTGTTTGTGCTTCTTCCTCCCTCAATGGCCTGTTTGCTCCCTCTGTCATCCGTACTACATCGTCCTCATCACAAGCAGCTGGATCTGTTGGCAGCTCAGAGGTCCCTCCAAGGCCGCAGGGAGCTGTTGGAGCAGGAGTGTCTGAGCCACACGAGGAAGCGCCGGGTGCTTTCGCCTGAGGATCTCAAACACCTCATTGTGGATGATAAACACAGCCTTATTTACTGCTATGTACCCAAGGTTGGTTACCATTACTTTAAGTTAGTGCAGCTGAAATTCTAGAGGTTTTCAGTCTCTTCAGAGTTTGTCTTACAGGGAGGGGAGGGTTGAAGGGGGGAGGGGGGGGGGGGGATGTGGAGTGGGGCATTAAAAAGATAAAAGAATACAGTTATTTGTTATTGTACTTTGACCACTGATTTGGCCCTATAAGTATTTCTATGCACAAATGTGTATTTTTGCTTAAAAGAAAAATCTTCCTCCCTTTTATGACTTCCAGGTAGCCTGCACCAACTGGAAGCGTGTCCTCATGGTCCTCACCAGTGACGGCCGTTACACCGACCCCCTTGCCATCCCTGCCAACGAGGCGCACGTAGCCGGTAACCTCCGCACACTCTCCGAGTTCTCCGTCCCCGAGATAAACCAGCGCCTTCGCAGCTACCTCAAGTTCATCTTTGTGCGGGAGCCCTTCGAGCGCCTGGTGTCCGCCTACAGGAACAAGTTCACACGCCGCTACAACACGGCTTTCCACAAGCGCTACGGAACCAAGATCATCCGCCGGCACCGGCTCAACCCGGAGCCTGAAGCGCTGGAGAAAGGCAATAACGTTTCTTTCCAAGAGTTTGTCCAGTATCTTGTGGATCCTCGGACCCAGCGAGAGGAACCTTTGAATGAGCACTGGGAGCGGGTGCACTCCCTCTGCCACCCCTGTCTGATCCACTACGATGTGGTGGGGAAGTACGAGACTCTGGAGCCGGACGCTCAGGCTGTGCTCAGTTTGGCCGGAGTGGAGGGGACGCTTAAATTTCCAACGTCTGGTAAAAGCACCAGAACTGATGGCAACATGGCAGCAAGCTTCTTTAAGAACATCAATCCATTCTACCAGAAGAAACTGTTCAACCTGTATCGAATGGACTTCCTACTCTTCAACTACTCCACACCAGAGTATCTCAGGACTCGATGAGAGGCGGAGAGACAGCGACTGGCGTCAGTGCCGTGACTGGATCGGTTTTGATATCTTTCCTTTCACATCCCATTCATATTTTTTCAGCAATGACAATTTTGCACTTTTCGGTTGCCACGGACGATTTTCACCCCTGCGTCGGGTGGTCCATCACAGGCACAGACTTGTCACTACTACTCTCAAGCAGAAACTGAAGGCTGTGGAGAATGACTTGATTTTCTGGTTTCATGTGAATGGAACTTTCTAAATGGAACCAAATTTCTTCCTGAGAAGGAAAAGACTGACAGTTCGTGCTGTAATCTACCAAAAATATGTCACATTTGTAGATTTTCTGCCAAGTGTGAAAAGTTTTAATCGGGAGGAACCTTTGAATGTTTTGATGTTTAGCAGAATAGACAAATTGTTTGCTTTAGGTTCACTTAGAAATCAGTATTTATTTTTGCCATTTCTCGCCTAGAAATTTGTCAAATTGAGCAAACCTTTCTTTGACTCCTTACATGTGGTCGTCGAGTTGGTGTAACGTGCCTTACCAGCCTTCCTGCCGTGCCCACTACAAAAACAGATTTCCCATGGCTTTGGTTTTTTCTGAGCCATAACTTAAAGTCACACTTGAGGAGCAGGTTCTCCTCTGGCGTGGGTAAACAGGTGAACATGCTGACTGTGAAACTGAACGCAGCGGATTATTTCAAAGCACCTACAGCACAGTATCTCTGGAAGGCCTTTATTTATGTATGTCAGAGCATAAAGTATTTATTGTGGAAGTGTGCGGATTTGGCTCATGATGTTGTTAAGATTAATTTTATATGAAAGAATAAGGGTTTCAACTTTAACTTGCATGGAAAGTTACTTGCTGTTTTGGCTTTTGCACATATACTGATGCCAAATAGAAATCTCTTCTGAGCAACTCTGTGCTTATCATATCACACTTTTCTTTTTTTTTTTTTGTAACTTCTCTGATCAGACCCGAGCTGAAAAGCTACATCCAGGTCTTATCTTGCTCGTCTCTGCACTCGTTGACTCCGTCTTTAAATTTGTATGCGAGAATTATTTCCAGGGAAACCTGCAGTCACTCCTCAGTTTCAGTAAAAGCTCATTGCCATCCCTCCTCTATCGCTGTCTGTATTTAGCTCTGGGCAGGTAGGCTGAACAAACAACCACATAGCTGTGGTCGGGGCTGGGTGCAGCACCAGCACTACTGCCGCTCAGAGCTCCCCTTGTTAGGGTGACAGCAGGCACACGAGGGGTTAATCCACCTCCAGTCATCTCCACTGCACTGAACGGCCTTGTTCAGCAGTGTCAGTGAATTTAAGCTAAAAGTACAGAGGTTAATGTTGGAAACTGTTTAATAAATGACCTGAGCTGCAGAAGTGTCAGTTTTAACAAATGGCTTCATAGAGTTTGAAATATTTAAAGAGAAATTCCAGTTTTTACACATCAAAGTCTGTTAGCAGGTGTTGTGAGAAAAGTTATATAGAGCCTTTTGTCACTCAATGCCACATTAGCCGCTACCAGTATAACATATCTGAGTCTCTGATCGAAGTATCAGTGGTTGAGTTGCATTGTGGGTAATGTAGGTGCCAAGGTTTGACTAGGAGGAAGAATACGTAGAATAAAAAAAAAAAAAAAAAAAAAAAAAAGTGATATCACAGACTTTTTTTTAACTGTTCATGAGCTCGCCAGTGTTCTTGAAACTAGAAGTAAAATCATCCAATAGATTTACATCATATAAACTGATACAGTCATATCTGCCAGGCAATTTGCAAAACCAATATTTAAAAAACTTTGTGTAGTTAATTTGACTTGTCGGTTGTTTGTGTATCTGTGACTGCCAGAAAAACATCTTTCAAGAAAAAAGAATTAAAGAGTGTTGTTTGAGGAAAACAATGGACTTGGAGTGCATATAGAACTGACCTGAAATTATCTGCCAAAGTATAAATGTTAATGTTTTGTTTTCCAGCTTTTCCTAAAAAACAAAGTTTCTTTGTTTGTTCTATTAACGTTAAAAACAAAAACGGTGAAACTGCACAGAAACTGTGCAGTTGTACAGGAGAGCATGGGATTCAACTGAAAAGCAAAGATTCCAATCATAAATGATTAATTAATAAATATTTACTTGGGTCCAAAAGAACAGTCTTACCAAAGAAGAAATCCTCTGGAAATCTGTGTCTATAATTAGTACTAAATTACACAGTTCTTTTCAGAAAACCTTCTACTGAATAATTAGGAAAATAAGAGGCACGTAAAACAAAATGTTGCTGTAAAATGCCACCATCTGGCCTGTGGCATGGACACAGTTACCATCTTATACATCTGATGATCAGTGTGGCCTATTTTCGTGTTTTGTGAGGAAGCCTGTGTCTACATCTACTAAATATAATTTATGATTTCAGTTTATGTTTCATTCCCAGTTGGATCTTTGTTTAAAAATAAGTACTACATCGGTCTAACAAAATAACTACACTGTCTCTAATTACTACAACAAATCTAGCCTGGATGAATTGGACCTGTCATGTCTTTGTTTAGCGGGTCATTCCTGAGAAAAACAAGAATTTCACCTCAAACAAATAAAGTCAACTTCTCCATTTAAGTAGACACGTCCCACAGGACGGATATTAGTTGCAGTTTTGCTCTAAAAAAAATTATCCTAGTGCATGTCAAGACAAGTTGGCACCAAAGTGGCAGGAAACAGCTTAGACTCTTTATCTTCCAGATTTTTTAAATAAAATATTTCATTTTTTGTTAGACAGGTCAGCGCAGGCCAATTCTGGAAACATTATGTTTTTCTTGCTTTGAAAGGTGCAATATCTGTGTGTATCTGAGTGTGGGTAATGTGTTAAAAGTTATGTGTTTTTATAAGTGACTTCCTGTTTTTATTCTAGCCTTAAAATTTGTGCCATCGAGTTTATGCCACTTTTTTTATTTTTCTGTTGGCTATGATTGCATGATTGCCATGGATTACAGGGTTTTCATTTTTAATGCTCTCCTTTGTAGCAGTGTGTGATTTAAGCCATAATTTGCAAGAAGCTGCAACTTGCCAAAAACCAATCACACCCTTAAAGTTTTTTTTCTTCCTACTGGCTCAATGACATGCTGCACAAAATATATGTTTTACCTTTTAATTTCCTTTTTTTTTATCCTGGAAAATACAGAATACAAATAACAAGTAGCTCGTTCTTTCACAGAGACTACACATGCTGTATTTCCATCTCAAATACCCAGACGCTGCTGTGTATGAGCACAGCTAGTCAGACATTTTCTGTAGAGATGTTCCTTTAGTCAGACTGGTGACATGGTGAGTCACTGTGAACCCAGCACAATCTGAGAGGATCTCAAGTACCAGTTTACTTGTGCCACGAAGCTGTGAATGTGATGATTGACTGTCTGGTTACGTTGAAGTTTCAACAAATACAGTTTGTTAACAGCAACACACTGTGTGTGTCGTCTTATATTGTTTCCCTTTACAAACACACATATGTTAAACTCATGATATTAGTTATAAAGATATTCTCTCAAAAAGGTTTTTTTTTCCTCTGCTGATGGTAGAGGAAGATTTCCACTGAGTTATACTGGACAAAGATGACCTTTTACTATCCTCAGTGCAATACTTATGGTTGCCTGCAGTGCTGAATGAACAAGCCAGGAGTATTTAAAAAGGAGCTATTTGTAAGTTTTGCTATCGCTACACAGCTAACCTTAGCATTAACAGCTGTTTACTTACCAGTCTAGAAGAAATGCTGCGAGTTCTGCATCAAACTTCATTCCTTTTCTCACCAATGATGCAGCTCTGCTCAGAAACATATTATAACCTCTTGTCTTGTAAATGCAACAATGGCTGAAGCTCTTGTCAAGTGACAATCACCACCGCCTGCTCCTGGCAAGAAACCACATTCGCCACGGAGAAAACTTACAAATAGCCCCTGTCACAGACGGGTTCAGTGAATGTGATAAGAAGGGAGTCCACACAAAGGCTGTACTGAAGACAAACAATTTATTATCACTAAAGAGTGAGACAAATGAGCAGTGGGGTGTGGAAGCAGCCATGAAATCAGCGCGTGGATGAGTAGCATATGTGTTGTAAAAGCAAAATATAACACCAACATAAATGGATGTCAGCAGTTGGAAAAGCAAGTAAGCACATGGGCCAGCTGTTATAGTCTGGAAGGCCCAGGTGAACTGCATCAGCTGACGGCCCTCCAATGTCAAACAATTGCGTGCTGAGGTTGGCAAGGACAACCTCCAAGACAGTGGGAGGGGTGTTACATGTAGAGTTTTAGACATGCCAGTTGTGATAGTGACATGTTTCAACAGATCTGTCATTGTAATCAAAAGAGATTGCAATTTAATGGGTTAGTGTAGCATATTTGAAATGACTCTGATAGTGTGTGTGTGTGCTCATAAAAAAAAAAAAAAGAAAAAAAAGAAAGTGAAACAATCCCAAACAATGCTGTAGTTGAAGTGTTGCATTGTGGCCAGTCAGAGTTTCCACCCTGCTGTTTTTATGCACATTTTCAAAGAAAAAAAAAAAACCTGAGTGGAAACCTTAAAAAATTGGAAAAAACTCAAGTATTGCAAAAAAAAATTCAGCAAGGCTGATGTAGAAAGGTTGGTGTTGGTAAAGCAAAACCCAACAGTACAATGGAAACAGATAAACAGTGGATAAATCACATCTAACATAAAGCATGTGACTTAAACATCCATTGAAGAAAAATAGCAGCAGATGAGTGTGGAGCAATAACCCTCCTCAAATTAACACAAAACAGACATAAATGCCATGTTTCCATCATGTTCCTGTTATTTTCTATCATAGGAGATTCCATGGTGCACTTTCAATTATGTCATATTCCTGCAGCCTCTTCTCCTTAAGGCAAGAGTAAGAAACAGAATCCGCACACTGAGCTAATACCTCCCAGCAATTTTAATAAAGCAGCATTTGGATCTATAGGGATCTTCATCAGCTACTGTCAAAGCACCATCACAAAGCAGAACAGGCTTTATATAGACACAAACATTCATCACCCAGGTGATTATGATCTACATGATTGAGAGTCAAATTGCCCTCAGGCTGAACCAATCAGAGCAGAGCTGGGCATGCCTCTATAGAGAGAATAAAAACAACTTGAAACATAGGCTGAATTTCAGTGTCATATAGACATAGACTTCTTTGTGATGGAGCTTTGACAGAGTCTGATAAAGATCCCTGCAGATCCAAACGTTGCTTTATTGAAATTGCTGGAAGCTGTTAGCACAGTGTGCCGATCCTTTCTCTGACTCTTGCCTTAAGTTTGATTTTTAAGTCCCTTTGGATGAGGGACTTACCGATTTAAAGCCACATTACTGGCTGCAGTTAGCGCCACGAGCTGTTTATCTCAACGAGACCAATTCCTAATATTTATATAACAGCAGTGGATGGAAACTTTTTTGCATCTTCCTCAATTTTCTGGAAATGTGGTTAAAATTTGAGCTACTTGTGGATGGAAACCTGACTAACTAACTTGATGTTTCATTTGATGGAGCCAAAGTAAAAACATAATAAAATCATACACATACAGTAGCAATAACGGCTTTAGTGTCCAGTTTTTTTTTATAATAAATTACGTGATGGTGTCAAAGTAACACAGATTCCATAACACTGTTGGTTTTTATTAAAATATAATTGTTCATAGCCACAAAAATCACAAACACTCACCAAACATTTGTCATGTTTTTGATTCCACACTTGATCTTTGCGCACACATAAGACAACACACTGGGAGTGGAAGCTCGGGTGACAGTGAACACAGCAAAGATTAGAAAATGAAGGCATTTTAGAAGCCCCTACAGTCTTCATGTGGCAGTGTCAACATTGAAGTACAGTACAAAGTTTTGTCTACAGAAAGCAAGAGAGAAAGGACTGCTGCAACACCGCGGATAAAGCTATTTGTTGACATTGACATGGTTGTAGATGACGACATTTTAGCTAAGACACAGTTAATTTTAAACATTGATTTTGTTTTCAAGGCAACTATTAAACCAAAAGTGCAAGTTTGCAATGAGATTTTTGCCATCACACTCTTTGACATAACAGGGCTGGATGATAAACCAGATATTTTTTTTAAGGTTATAGTTGAACATTTTGGGAAACATGCTTATTAACTGTCTTGCTAAGAGTCAGGTGAGAAGATTGAAGCCACTCCTGTGTGTTTGCTAAATATAAAGCTATAGCTAGCAGGCAGTTAGCTTAGCTTACTTAGCATAAAGACTGCGGGAAAGCAGGGGGAAACGGCATAGTTTTGTCTAAATTATTATATACCTTATACAGTATATCTTTTTAAGTAAAAATGACCAGTTGTAGTTTTACAGGGAGTTACACACTGGAGCTATTTACCTTCAGTCCTACAGTTACTGGCCCATTACGTCACACCAACATTACAGCATGAAACTCCATGTAAAAAGCATCTTGTCTCTTTTATTTAATTACTTTGATTGTAGAACAAGTTAAGCTCAGCTAATTGTCCACTGGCTTTAGCTTTACTTTCAGATTTAGCATACATAGGTATAGAAACCCGAGGTATCAGGCACAGTAGCCTCTGTAACTCATCCATTCAGTATTTCTTTAATGTGTATTTTTAGGAAACTTAAGTATTCTTGGGATTACAATCCATATAAAAACTACTACAATGGTTAATCCTGTGGTGCTACTGTTTTTATGAGCATGAGTCCGTGGTGCTCTAAAGCTTCTGGGAAATGGTGTTCCTTCAAGGCCGCTGAAAGCAGAAATTTTTAATGGCCATCAGATCTTTTTTTTTCTTTCCTTATCTAAACATATAGAGTGAGCCACATGACATACAGTATGCTAAAAGCTACGTGTTCCAACACTGGACTTTTAGTTATTTGCACGATTTAGAAATGTCAGAAATGTCAATGGGATTTTTTTACTTCTGGAATAGAACCAGTTTTGTTTTGGCGTCTTGCACTTTTCTCATCTAAACCTTGGCAATAGATTAATAAACATGTTTCCCCAAACACTGAACTAGCCTACTCCTTTTAAATGAGCACCGTTATTACAAACTAAGTATTACTAACTCAAAAATTCAAGCAAGCTATAAAACCATAAATTCCATATATTTAGTTTAAGAATAGCAACAGAAACCAGTGACTTCTAATGGACATTTAACCAATCAATAATGTCCAAAGGTCTAGAATTATTAACTGGTCAAACTGTTAATTATATTGGAACAAACATAAGAAGCAACCCAACACAATAATGGACATAAATACAATGATGTATTTAAAAAAAAAAAAAAAAAAAGAAAAAAAAGATTACATCCATTACCGATATAAATGTGACAGGTTATATCATCCAGCCCAATCGATTAAGACACACTTTCGTGCTGGTACTACACTACCTTAACTCTAATTCTCACAGTATCACAGTTAACACATTAATCTCAGTAAGCTCGAGTGAAATAAACTGTGACTCAAATAGTACATCTTAAGATTTCATTACCCTCTAGTGTAGAAAGTACTGTGTAACAGTGTCACAATAAAAGCTTTTAGCAAAGCACTATTAACACTGAAATACCTCACACTAATATTCAGACAGGTTGTTTTCAGAAGTGCCTCAGATTTCAGTGTTTATGAGGTTTGTCTCTAAAAATAGGTACAACGAGTAACAGCAAACAGCAAACATGTTCCATGTGATTTTAATGAGTGCATTTACACACACGTTTGTATTTCTTTCTTGTTTTAGAGATATAGTGTAAATCTTTGATATGAAGCTCATACACCAGTATGACAGCAAGGTTAGAGAGCTGGCCAGTGTACTTCAGACATTTAAGTTCTGAATCCAGAATACTGTGGTTTTTGCAGTTATATATTAATTGTTATCTTTTTGTGTATTTATGTCAGCTGAAATTATACACAATTTGAATATGGAGATGCTTAAACATGACTTTAACTGTTAATTGAATAATAGGTGTTACTTCAAACAGAATGCGAGGTGAATGTTAGACATGATGTGATTGTAAACAAAGTCAATGGAAGGATGAAATTAGTTAGAAAGAAGAGACACAAATTCGCCCAGGACGGTGTTAAAGGGACTCGGCCGCTGAAAGTGATGGTGACTGTTGCTTGACAAAGCTTTGGCCATCGTTGCAAGAGTTAATCAGGGTCTACAGGGCAGATTGGAGGCTACATTAACTCGCTATCACAAAGTGACGAGATGGGCCACGACTAGCTGGTTAACGCGCTCAGTTGAAGAAAAGACGTGATAAAGGCAAGAGTTGATTTCCACTGCTGGAAAAAGCTCTTGGTAAGTAAAAGAATTAAGTTTGATGCTGAACTCACAACTTTTCTCCTAGACTGGTGAGTAAACAGCTGTTAATGCTAATGTTGGCTATGTAGTGACAAGATGAGAGGAAAAAGGGAGAGAGACTGGAGTAAAATATAAAGAACTGGAGTTAAAGGTGAGTTCCAGCTTGTGTGCGGATGACACAAGGTCAATTCACCTCGCTGTCTGTCTGAACACACTAAAGAGTAACGTGTGCATGTATATGCACTCACTACAGTAATGATGAGGTTTCATGGTTCTTACGTTATAATGAGCAGTAAGGCAGTAAGTGAGGGAATACCCAAGATCCTCTGCAGCTAAATAATCAATGTAAACACATAAACCTGGGCTGATGGTTGAAAACAAATACATGTAGAAGTCATCTGTGTAAGTTCATTGCTGTTTGTTTTTTTTAGATTGAGTGGCAGCACAAAATTCACAATAAATTAAATATTGCAAAATATTTGTTCAATATTGACATTGCTCTACAAATAGTGAGATGTGTGGTGACATTTTTCAGAGCGCTTTAGAAGGTAACATCTGGGTCTTTAAACAGTTTCTGTTATGATGTAGAATCTGAAAAACAATCTCATTGCTTATTTATATTTATTACTGTATCATTTGCATGTGCCAGTTTAATGGCATTGTATATCTATGTGCAACAAAAAGCAATACATCATCTGCATATTAGGTATTCTGGAAACAGTTTTTGTGAGGGATCATGGGGGCTTTAAGTCAGAAATGTAGTCTTTTCACTGGGATCAAATAGATCCCAGTGAAGAAGTGTGTTAGAAGTAACAGCCATCAATGTTTACAGGCCTATTACTGTAGCTTTAGCAAATAATTTTTCTGGCCATTAAAGGAAAGGTTTGAGATTTTGGAAGAAAATGTTATTTGCTTTCTTGCCAAGCGTTAGATGAGAAGATCGATACCAATTTATATTCAACCTGGAAGAGTGGAAACAGGAGGAAAGAACTAGCCTGCCATTGTCAGAATCCAGGCACCTACAAGCACCTCTAGATTTTACTAATTAACACGTTACATCTCATTTGTTTAATCCATACAAAAACTGAACTTCCGGGCCAAAAAATAGGTTTGCACATAACCACAAAAATTAGTGAATTTTTGTTTTTACACTTAAACAAGAGACATATGTTTTAGTAAATGTTGGTAAGAGATTTTGTTACCTTTTGCACAGAGCAAGGCTAGCTGTTTCCCCTTTTCCAGTCTTTGTGCTAAACTACATTAGCTGGCCGTAAACTAATTTTTAACATAGTGTTATCAATCTCATCAATCTCCTCATTTAACTCTTTGCAGATAAGTCTATCTTCCAAAAGGTCAAATCATTTCTTTAACAGTATCTTTTCATGGATTTTGATTTTATTGCACTAGTCTGGAATAATTTTTAATCCTCACTATTGATGCCAGTAGGTGCCATCATAGACACAGTGAGTGGGGATGCTGGACACAAACACATCAATTATAATTGTCAAAAACTTGCTGGTGTATGCCCTCCACCCCTCCCGAAGTCAAACAGTCTTTATGATAAGTTTTGTTTTGTTTGGATCCTCACCTCATTTCACAAAAAAACACTATGTAATAATTCTCCAACAAACAGAGCGACTAAATATGTTACTGTATCTGCCATTATTTATTCAGGTACACTATAGAATGATATGATGATTCTGCACCTCCTGCACATCAGTCACCATTTACTATTAGTACATGAGGTGGAGCTGCTCTGCACTGTTCTCTGCATGATGTTTATGACTGATACAATCTCCAACCACAACTACTAATAGTCTTCCTCCTAATCACACTGTTTCCATTGTGCAACCTGCCACTTGGGTTTGGCCATGAAAATACCTCCTGCCATCTGTCGGTCAGACAGCTCTATCTCAAAAAACTTAAAAATTAATTCAGCAAAAACTGTAGAAAAATGGGGGATTTTGGTTATTAGACTCTCATGAAGTACATTATATGGATAATAATGGAGATTCAGTTTTTTTTTCATGTGATGTGTTACTTTTGTGCATGACAAAAACCATCTGTCCCATTTGTTCTAAAAAAATAAAGATGGATCCAAACTCATATATTGGACATACATCCATGAAAATTTCAGTTACTGTACGACATGTATCAACCTCCACAACCTCTAGCCTTAATGCATAGTACAGCCCACCCAAATGAGGGCTGCTTTAAGTCTGTTTGTTCTATTCAAGTTCAAACAAATTTCCACAAACAAACCGTTTGTTCACAGTGAAGGCCATTGAAAAACATTTCTACTGGCCTGCACAGTTGATATGCTGCCATGATGTTCTGCTGCTATGATGTTCTGCTGCTACATATTCCTCTGATGAAGCCAAAGAGATGAGCTAAGAGACGAGGTGAGCACAGACCCACCAAACTGTTGTTAGTGCAGGAAAATTAGACCACAGAAATAAAGAGGAATGATTTTTAACTAAAAAAGTGTAGCAGATGTTCTGAAGGAGAGAAGTAAAACTTCCAAATACTTTGAAGTCTTTTGCACTTGAATAAAAGAATCAGATCCAGCTGAGGGCCGGACATTTTCAGGCAGCAAACTTTACACCCAGATGGATGGGTGTAAGTGGGTGGGTGTCACATGTGCTGTCTCTCCACCAGTGTAAAGGTCTGAATTTGTGACAAATTCCTTGGGATGAACTGGCCCAGTGATAAAGATTAGAAAATGCTTTATTGTCCAATCAAAAGCATCTCTGTGCAAACAAAATCGGTGCAACAAGACAGTGGCTGGCTAAGAGTTCATGGTACAGGGGAAAATTCATAGACCCAGGCTCTGAGCAAGTGAGACACAGCGGAAGCACAAGGCCAGGAAGCCAGTGCCCAGCAGGTCGCCCAGGGCGGTCAGGTAGGGGATGGAGAAGTTGTCTGGGTCCAGACTCCTTCTCCACATCAAGCGGACAATGAGGTCAGCAACATAAAGGAGGATAGCCACCTAAAGAGAGAAGAAAACAGAAAAAAAATGATATAGAAAAAAAAGAAAAGAAAAGATTTTTAAAACTGAAATCACCAGCATATACGCAAGCACATGACTAGTTCAGTGATGGAGTAGCAGGGGTATTTCTGCATGTGGACAGAAAACCCACTAACATCCGATGACATCTGGCTGTACAAAAATTCCAGTAAGTGTACGAAATACATCAATCTCCACAACCTCTAGCCTTAATGCATAGTACAGCTTCTTCTATGATGCTTCTATTCAGGTTCAAACTAATTTCACCAAAATAATTGTTCACAGCGCTGAAAAACATTTCTGCTGGCCTGCACAGATGATATGCTTCCATGATGTGAAGTTGCTACATATTCCTCTGATGAAGCCCCTGTACAATCAGCATTCAGTCCTGGGTCAAATGACTCTGCAGTAGTCAGGGGTATTTATTGGCTCCAGCTCCAATCAGCAGTGATGTAAGCATGTAGACAGACCTGTCACCTGCGCAGCACGGTGCTATTAAACCAGAAACACTGCAGCTACACTTCATTTTTACATTGTCTAAAGGCTACCCACGGCATGGCTGTGCTAAACTTGCTAACTAGCGGCTAGCCGCCATGCAAGCTCGCTGAGAGTGTGCTGTGTTAGGGGCTGCAGGAGTGAGCACAGTCCTGAAATAAGTTTTAAAAACACACATTTACCAACTGAAGCATCTCACACAGAGGCTCTGACACTTACAGGAGCACCAGCCTGCAGATGAGATACAACAAGTCTGCATAGCAGCTAGCAGCTCACGCTCAGTGCATTTAAAAACCCACATATATGCGTTAATTTTAGTTTAAAAAGGGTATTGGTGTACTTCTCACTGCGCCTGTGTATGTTTTGTGTGTGTTATTTCGTCACATTACCCAGGCGAGTGATCTCAATAGCAGCTTCCTACGAATCTTCCAAGCAGTGAAATCCTTTAAGGTCTCAGTCAACTTTTCTGGACTCAGGCAACTATGAAGTCTGAGCTTTGTTTGAATCTCCAAGAGTTTATTGGGATTTACAAACAGTCCTTGACTTGATACCAAAGAACACAACGTCTAATTCTGTGCAAGAATACAAACACCACCATCAAACATTGTGTGTTTAATGAGTGTCAGGTTTGTATAAACACTTAGCAGCTGAGGTGATGTTATGTTGGGGAGGTCAGGAGTGCGGTGTACTTTTGGTTCTGTCCTGGAACAACTCTCTATCTCACTCACCCGCTGAAACACCAACATCTGGCACCGGCCAGTTCACAGCTAGGTAACAGGTGGCAGCAGCCATTTTTATCAGACTGTACAAAGTCTTACAATGTACCTTCTGATGACTGGTTTCCACAGTTTGTATCAGAAAGCCGTGTGAAACTTCAGGGCCAACTGAGGGCCAGTGAGTTCATGAGAAACCATTCAGCGTTGACCACCACTGGCAGGAAGATGCCAATGGTAGTTAACACTTCTTCTGTTTTACTGCAGTAAAAGAGGAACATGGAAACATCACAAACATGTGTGTATGGAACTGCACCAGCTTACCTGTAGCAGAGCAGCACACAGGTAGCAGACGGTGAAGGCTATGGAGATAGGCGCCTCCTCTCCCTGCAGCAGAGAGATGGCGTAGAGGAAGACCAGGTGACCGGGGATAACCAGCATCAGCAGCACGCGTGCAGACTTGGAGTTCACCCCTGGGAGACACAGAGAGGAGAGCTGAAAGAATATCCAACCAAAACAATGACCTGCAAGACTATGAGGGGAACTCTAAAGTCAGGTGATAATTTTCTGTGTGTTCGTTACCACAAGCGACAATTTTCACATTACACAGTCTTTTGATCAATGTTTGTTTTTGGCATATTTATGTTTAAAAGTTATTATTTGGGGCATTTATATGCTTTTATTTGACGATGAAGACAGACAGGAAGCACTGGGGGAGAGAGTAGGGGAGTGACATGCAATAAACAGCCCGGCCCGCCCTGAGCCGAACCTGCTGCTCAGGGCTTTTTACGCCCATGTGGTATGTGAACCAACCAATCAGCCATGGAGTTGCCCCGTTTTAATCTACTGCCAATATGAAAATACTGTTCAAGACCCTAACACAGAGCAGAATGTCTGCACATGTTATAAATTCATAACGCACAGGAACAGATTCTTTTTTGGAGATGAATGCATTTGCACCAGAACATCTGTTGTATAAGAATTCAAATTACATTACATTAGATACAGTCACTCTTATTCTAAGACATCCTGTGTAAGCACTTTGGTTAAATACCTAAGATTTTATGCATATGGCCACAGTGTGTGTGTCCATTATGGCAGGGCTACCTGAGGAGAAGAAGGTGATACAGGGATTGGGCCAGTGCTGCCTCATCTTATAGGGCAGCACGCCCGGGATGCTCCAAAAGTGCAGGTAGGTGGAGATCCTACTGGCCTGGATGGCCACCAAGTTACCACCCACTCCTACACGGGGGAGGAAGAAAAGCACAATCAGTAAATCAATGAGTATAAGAATGAAGCTGTGACACAATACAGAGCAACCACTTCAATCGACTGGTTGTAACTTTATTTCTGCAATAAAAGAAAAGCAAAGATTTATTGTGTACTCAAGAAAGCACAAAAAAGTGACAAAGACCTTTTGTTTTCTCACACATTGATTTGAAAAGCTGATATTGATTTGTTACTGTCATTATCATGAGACAGAAAGTTCTTCCAAACAAGGGACAGTAAACAAGCTTTTAAAATCAGTAACGCTTAATCTCCTTCATCATCGCCTGCACACAAATTAAGCCAAGTAATGACACAAGCTTGGCTGGGCCGTGATCTGGCCACGGTTGATAGAGCAGAGTCCATCTTAATAAGCCACACAGGCCAAAGCACAGCAAAGACCTGGCCGGTGGAGTCGCAGTAACCGAGATGAATACAAACCTGATACCAAGCAGCAACACGTACGTATGGAAAGAAAGTCAACCGCATGCAGCCGTATGGTTCCGACAGTGAAACATGAGTCATGACCCTGGTAGTGCTAGAATCATTACGTGCCTTTTCTCAAATTCTGGTAAATAGCTTGTTTCTAACTGCCCTTGTGTCAAGATGTCTGATCTGTTTGATAAGTCATTTTCAGATTTTTAAATCTTTCCAGATGTTACGTGCTTCAAAGCAACCAAAGAGGCTTTAACATGGGTTAAATGCTAAGAGATGTAAGATTTTATCTTTCTAGTGAGAGTTGGGCCATTCGCTTCACTTCTTCAAAGCCAAGTTTCTTCTGAATGCAAAACAAATTTTCCAGATCCCACTGGTTGCAGTCCATTTTAATTTTAGTGTTGACAAGGGTATCTGTGCCTAATTCAGTTACATCAAACACCTTTCCAAGTTATTTACCCCACAAAACGGCACAGATGTTCTTTGTGAGATGGAAAAGACTGGAGGAACTTTTTAGTAAAACATAAAACTGGTTTATATGCAAGCCAGTGAGGGAAAAATAGGAAATTCAAACCAGATTGGTGAATTTAGAAATTCACAGGAATGGAGAGAGGGAGATAGAGAAACAGTGGGAGATGGGAAGAGATGAAATGAGAAACAGTGACAGCGAGAGTCTGGTTATTAAAGGCCCTGTCAGCTATGCCAGGGCACTGGGTGTGCACCATTAGTGGTTTAAATCGACTTCTTTCTTATACTCAGCGGATCCCTGCATGCATCACCTCATAGCCAAACCACTTCTTCTGAAGGCTGCTTATTTCTTTGCCTCCACTCCTCTACGTCTGAGAGGATTCTTCATCAGTCTGAAACAGCATCGCTCTCTTGATTTCTACGGTTGATTGTGATTTTCTCATGGAGAAAAAAGATGCATGCAAATCCAAAAAGTTAAATTAAACTGTTAGGAACTGCACACAGGTCAGTTTACAAGATCAGTGCAGTTTTAAAACAAGAATCCTGCAGAAGGATTATTACATTTGTCCGTGGCTACATGCATAAAGTAATGCTACAGACTGAGGCTAAAGCTACATGTTAGATGTCTTTTATTGCAGTGCAGCGCTAATTAGTCCAAATAAGTAAGAGAGAAGTTTGAATTTATTGCTGGTATTTTAAAAAAAGTTTTACTTTTAACATTACAAGAGAAAAAGTCTTTTAGGTTGAACAGTAACTGATGTGTTTGAATGTCGCTATTTCGAATAATTAATTTTGCTGGAGTTTCTGGAGTGCAAACAGCATGGCTAATGTTAGCGTAAACTTTTTTTTAAGTTCTTCTTCTTCTTCTTCTTTCTTTGTAACATAACCTGTAACCCAGCCAAATACAGTAGTGTGATGAAATGCTCCTTGGCCGTGGAGGTAATGCTGGGTTCGGTTGCTACTGTAGGTAGTAAGCTAGTTAAACTGACATGCTAATGTTTGCTAAAATTATTCCTTAAGTTTCTCCAAGTCGAGAAATCCAAAGCCTCAGAGACCTACTGTGCCTAGTTACAGTTGCTAAGCTATGACTGGACAACCACTGTTTGAAGTTGGATTTTAGAAAAAGCTCAAATGGTTCCTATAACTGCTCCATGAAACTGGCTGAGCTGATGAGCTCTACAGCTTCCTGTATTGTTAAGACAACTCATACATTTTTGATGAGACAGCAAAACAGGAACTTCAGAGTGAATCATCAGAGCAGCTTGATGCTCCACATGTTGGCCTTGGTGCGTCTGAAATGGTGCTTCTCAAAATGTTCCAGTGGTTTTAAGGCTTCATTTACTGGACGTTTTGGCAGCTCCTTATGTTTTAGCCCAGTGATTCTAAATTATGTATTACTTTAATATTAGAGCCAAACATTTTCCAAAGTATCACATATGATTTAAGACTTCCTACCTTCCAGACGGCCACTGGTTTCAGTTCATTTCACCATGGCAATTTAAATTAAATTGAAAGAAACTGACTGAGATATAGTCTTTTTCACTTATTTTGATCAGATAGTTCCTGTTTTTAAACCATAATTTTTTCCATTTACTCACTGTAATTTATTCAGGAAACAGTTTTGTACAGATGCTTGCTATTTCAAAACATTTGAGAAATTTGCTTCTGTTGTGCAATTAAAAAATGTTTTTCCTCTTTTTCTTTTTAATAAACATGTTTATCTCTCAGACCTAGGCCCCTACTTGTTGATGCACACTTTAAGGCTTCAGAGGAACTTGCTGGGCAGGAAACTTTTCCATTAAAGAAATAATCAAATACACATGAACCTTTTTGTTACATAATTGTATGTCTTCTGTTTTTAGTTTTCTGATTACACCACTGATGTAAACAATGCTTCACAGCACCTTTCTAAAGTCATGTCAGGCATCCTTTCTGTATGCAACTGCACGACCATGAAACAGAACTTGTGAGTGAGAAAAGATGAATAAATAAAAATAGATAAATAAATAATAACAACAATCAGCTGCCCGCAGCTGTGTGGGAGGAAGGAAATCAATCTGAAAAGTTATTTTAAGAACCCTAGGTGTGTTAATGGGGATTAGTGACACACTCAACACCAAATCTAAAGAAACATTACTATTCTGCTCTTCTGCATTTTTAACTCAATGTTTGATTTGCTGCTCAGATTCATACTAGAAGCTCCCAAAGAATAAACAACCTGTTCCTCCAAATGTCATTGTATAAATTTAGAGACAGGAACAGGTTTGGCTATTTGATCAAATATGACAGAAATGAAAGTTGTTAGTTTATGTGTATTTTCTTTGCTTTGATTTAACTTTCACTCTCTTCGCCTCTACCTCCACCACACTAACCTCTTTTATTCCTGTTTTTAGATCAATATAATGTCAATATCAATACAGTTGTGATGTCATCTTTTGCCATGTTCATTATGATCCTTCCATAGATGAGTGATATGTTTTTCTTTGAATGCACCTGAGGGTTACCGTGCTCACTGCTGAAAAACTGCTGCTTTAATCTTAACGATGCATCACTCTGGACTACATCCACTGAAAGGCTAAAATACAAATGTAACTCTGTGTGATTCCTCCTTGTGGCTTCATTTAGCTTTAAAGACCAATCAGCTTACCGTTAATGACGGGCGTGAAGACTGCCATGCCCTCAAAGTTGGGATCACTCACTGTCTTGTCCAGTATGAGTCCTCCGAAACTGGAAATCACAAACACAGAGGGAATCAGAATCACATGCAGGTACTGGCGGGGTTTCCCAGCCTGATGTCAGACCTGCAGAAACCTTTCACATTAAAGCTTATCCTGCTTCAGCTGTTTAATTACCACTTCAGAGGGCTGACTTATGTTTTACTCACTGAACATCTTACTACCAGGATTTCTTAGATCTGCAATCTGCACAGACAGACAGCCAAGTTGCACTCATAGGATCGAAAAGACCTCTGACCATAGGTGTAGTGCTGCTGGAGCACACCGGAGCAGTGCTCCGCCAGTGATGACATAAAATATCCACAGTTCACAGAATCCAGTTGAAATTTATATACATCTTTAAGAGCTTGAAGATCCGATCATGCAAGAAAGATACTAAAAACAAATGAAACTGATTGATTTCCAAATGTCAATCTTAGATTGAGTAACACACAAGAAAACATTCCACCTTAAAAGTGCAAGACACTGTGCAAGTAGTGTTTGGTTGTTAATGCATCATTTATCTGTGATCCAGGCCAGGTTATATTTTGATGTCTAACTTCATTTAACAGTCAGAGGAACTGGACAATAGCTCTGACTTGCCTTTTAGTCAGTGCAGTATGTAGTGTTGGATACTGTTGTATTTTCACAGTTTTTCTGACACCTGTTATTAGTCTGTGCTTTCATCTAGTCGGTATGACAATTGAATGCTGCACTGCATTACTTAAAAACAGGGAAATTATAATCACCCTGTAGTTATTGTTATAACTAACTATTTCCTGGTTTCATTCTGATTCCAGATGCATAACACAGAAGCCTGCACTCACATTAGCAGTTCGTTCACACAGTTTATTATTTAGTCTGCTCAGTTCAATCTGTTTTTTTCTACCATATGAGCCACAGATTGGGACTCTGCAGTTTGTAATTATATACTCCTGGGAAAAGAATAGATTGATGTGTACAAAATGATTTTTCCTGCAACATAAAGTTTCAAAGTACCACTTATATAGAAATCAAATGTCTAAGTAATTTTGTTTTATTCAAGTCTGTCAGTTTTTATTTTTGATTCAGCTTCATCACAAATCTTGAACTTAAAGCCTCAGTATACATTCCCACTAAATAAATCAAAGTGTGTGAATTTCTATATATTATACCTGCTAATAGACATGGCCACTATCACAGGCTGCCACCCTGAGCGGAGAACCTCCCTGATCTGGGGGCTCTGTCGAGCCACCAACACCCACAGAGGGATCAGGGCCAGGAAGACCAGACACACCAGGGGGGACAGGTACCATATATCTGTGGAACAGGAACAGGTATGAGGCGGTGAAGAAATAAACGTCTGTGAAATATATTGTCCATCTGTGAAATATATTGTCCATCTTTACTAGATTTTCAGATGAATCCATGAATTACAATGTGATTTCCTCACCCATAAAGTAGTATCATTTGTTTAACGGTCCAGTAGATGGAGAGGACACAGTAAAGGCAATAACTGACTATGTACTCTGTGTCCACTTTATTAAGCACAATTGCACAATCTAATGTGATTCAATACAATTATTCTGCTGTAAAGTCAACTTGTGTGATGCTAACAATGTTCTGTCTTTGTTGACACTGCCATCGACTCTCAATGTCTCAATATAATGTCGTCCACTACACCACCATCTGTAACCGTGACCTCAGTAACAATCATATGAACTAATTTACACATTTCCAACAATGTCAACAAAAACTGAACATTATGAGCTTAATGTTCCAGCAGGGCTGTTGTATTGGATTGCATTAAAAAAATCTTTATTGTAAGCTTCAGCGAGGCAGAAATTGTAGCAGGAATTTTCTACTCATAAATATCTGTGTGAAGTAAAAGAAAAAAAAAAGGTTTTTCCTACATCTGACTAGAAATAATATGATCTAAATCAACATTTACAAGGCTTTCATTCACATGTACACAAACACTTTGACAAACATCAAAGAGACTCTCACACACACACACACACACACACACGTACACAGACAGGCCCTTGAATAGATCAGGGACAGGCCACATACATTAAGAAGCTTGGAACAAAGAGAAGAAACAGTATGAACACACTTATTTAAAGTGCTATACTAAAGCAGGAACACACACACACACACACACACACACACACACAGATGACTGGGAAAATAAATCAGAGTTTTGCTGCCATCTTGTGTTCTGGTTACCTGCATGATGTTCTGTAATGGTCAATATGTTTCCTCTTGTTTGACTCAGCATCAGTAATAAAGTCACATTATAAGATCGATCTCAAATAAACATCATAAATCCAGATTTGTCAAGTTGAAGGGAACCGATAAATTCTCATCACATTCAGACGGTGCACAAAATATTGAAGTGACTGAATTGACTGACTGATAGCCATAACACACCAGAGCAGCACTGACAAGTGTGGCACAGAGTCATAAATCTGATCTGAGTTCAGCTCACCTATATACTCGTAGAGTGTGCTGCTGACCCCGGCCAGCAGGGACAGGGTGATCAAATCCCCCAGGCTGGCAGCGATGGGGGTGGCCACGTTGTCAGGGTTGATTCCCACCTTCCTGGAGCCGATGATCACTCCGATCATCACCAGGCCTACGGGGGCGGGGGGAGTGGAGCGAGTGTGACGAGACAAAAACAGAAAATAAGATGAATGAGAATCGGAATCAATCGTTAGGGCAACAAGACAACATAATGCTGATGAACGCTTTCAGCTAAAGTCTGTTGGTTTTTCTCTATCAACACACAATTTCCAAAACATCAAGCAGCCTCACAGAAAGGACAAACCCAGATTCAGACAAGCTGCATTTAGAACTGAGCAAAACGAAAAATGTGTTGTACATCAGAAAACTGATTTATAGAGACGTGTTGAAGTGGCAGAGTCAGCAGAGAGTTCTACTCGCTCAGACGAAACGTTGCAAAAAAAAAAGAACCAGTTTAGTTTCCTCACTCTTCGAGCCTGATTAACACGAGAACATCTGTGGAGAGGATGAATTATAGATAATACAGTAATTACATTTTGTGAGGGAAAATGTGAGAATAGATGCTCAGCAAAAAAACCTGCTGGGTTTGTTTACTATAACTATGAGACATGAATCTGTTCTTTTCTATTTATGCATTAAAAGGAGGTTTTATAATCTGAATCATCTACACGATATCGTCATGAAGGAAATGTAAAAATCACTATTCCCACTGAAATCGTGACTCATGACACCTCATCTGTCAATATAAATGCAATATGATTTTCTTTTGCCCTACTCTGATAGTGTTTTGCACTTTTGCAATTGTAAAAACACTAACACTAACAAAACAGTAAGTCCTCTGAACACAAACACCTCATATTAGCAACACGGCAAGAGACAAAACTGATGTAGTGAATGCATTACAGAGCATTTAATATAAATCTGTCAATTTAACCTTTATTATCTATATTTACAGGGATGTAGCATCTTAAATAAATAATATGAATGTTTTCAGGGGTCATTTCAAATAAAATACTCACTTCCTTGCGGCTATTTACGTTCTCGGTTTTGATAAGAATTAATGATCTTTTCACAGCATTATCTGATAATGATGTGAATGTTGTTTTAAAATGAAACAAATTGTGTGATAAAATGATTTTGAGGCTGTGTGTGATGCATTATCTAATGTGATACAGACGCTTTCATTCATCTGTTAAGTCACTGGCATGAGTTAGTGGTATAGCAATTTGTGTTCAGAGTTTTGTGAAAGAACCAAAAAGTCACTCACTTTATTTACAACATCTAGGTCCTCTGACCTTCATCAGGTTAAACAGCACCAGCAGTATAATATCTTTTGGAAAAATGGTGTTCATCCCTCCAGTAGAGTTCAGACACTGAAGCTGCACTGAAGATGTTCTGGTGGCATGTACAGTATATACACCGTATACAGTGGGATGTGAGTGGCATTTGGTTCTGTCATAGTCACAGATTTGATTTAAGACTTTCTGGTGTGCAAGAACGTGGCAGTGAAGCTGTGCTGCAAACTGAAACTCTGCTGTAAAATACTGCAATAGATGTTTCTGAGGCAAAACAGTGAAAGTGTTGCAGGTCACTGACCTAAAGACAGAGCAGCTACAAAGGCAGTGGTGATGCTGCTGGCGCACAGAACAGCCGCCTGGTCCAGTTCAACGCCTCCTCTGGAAATGGCTCCTAAACACACGGCTGCCACTGCTGCGAGGAAGCCCACCACTGTGGCCTGAACCTGCAGAGAATGAGGAGAGACAGAGGACTTCATTCATCTGCAGTACACCAATCAACAGTAGAATTAGAAAAACAATAAGAAAAAAAATGCCCAAACCCCAAAGATGTTCAGTTCACCAGGAGGAAAACAGTAAGCTGTGTGAATGTGTGCAGTAAATAGAAGTTACCTGTATTAGTGCCAGATTGCTGCACACCATCGTCCATTGTTTATCAGGGTCGTCCATTTGACCTGTGTTGGCCTAAAAACACAAGAGACACCAATTTCAATAAGGAAGGTTCAACTGTTCAGATGTAGTAGATGTAGATTTAGTTTTGACATGATTAAGTATTGAAACATGTTAGTATGGAACATTATAGCTCATTGTTTAAACAGGCAGACGAGCAGACACTTAAAAACTGAAACTGAAACTGAAAATCTTTTCTAAAGTTTTGGGTAGCAGTTTAAATTACAACCCACAGATTACAGTGTAATTACCAATGAAATAATACCTGGTACCTACTAGTAGGAACAAGGGAACAAGTACAAGAAATAAGAGGCAGTAACAAAGGATATAGGTCGGCTGTGGTAATACATCACACTGTAAGTACTTTTATAATTATGCAGTGCACATTAAATCATTACAGGATACAGTACCACTGGGCTTAGTCAGTACTTCCTTTTGCTACAGCTATGACACGAGGTTGGGCTTCACATCAGACCTCAGAACAACATCACTGTTCCTCTGCATTCATCATCATTGTTAAAACGCATAACTATCTCATTGCTACAGATATAACGGCACTTCTTTGGAATATTATTTGACATATGGTGCTCCATTATGGGGAGTGCTGCCTCATTTTTCCCGTCCTGTTAAAAAATAATGTTACTACTGTACCCTGTTAATATTCAGCATGTGTAATTTATTTCTTACGCTCTTACACTCACCCTCTTTGTCTCTTCTCCACCTGTACCTACACGTTTGCCCTGATATACAGCGGGGTCCAAAAGTCTGAGACCATGTTATCATTCAGTTGAATGGGAAAGAGGTACTGGTAGGTACCAACTGAAGTATGTTGTTGTTTTAAACCCCATAAGTACTAAATAATTACACTGTAATGTGTGGGCTTGTTGAAACGAGTTTCCGGAGTCAAAACTGATAGTTTGGTTGCTTGTGTTTCTTTCTCTATTGGACACTACAGCAGCAGCGTCACCGTGTCCCCACATCTCAGCGCTGACGTCGGTCAGTAAAGTGTGATCATAACCTACACGGACGACAGATAAATACTTTGAGAATTAGACTCAGGCAGGTTGTAAAATAAACTACAAACTGCTGCAGCATCTGCCTAAGAGCCAAATACTAAAACATGATCCCTTGTCTTTCTGAATAATTTAACATGTTGCATTACACATTACTCATTATAAAAGCCCATTTAACAGCTTAAGGTTAAAGTAGCTTACTTGGTGACCCTTGTGCAGCTCGGACTAAGATAAACAGACCTCATTTTGCCAACAATATTAGTTTCTAATGACAACATATACATTCTCCTGAGTGTGACTTTATAACTGAATCAACTGTGCATGACAGACTGTAGTAGTGACATACAGTTCTCTGTTTCAACAAGCAAAGGGTTTGAATAAAGTTTGTGTGTTTTGAAACACATATGAAACTGCATGAAAATGTAGAACAGCCAGCCCTTCTTACAGCAGTGGAGAGGCGAGCAGCCAAGGTCATCTCCAGGTTTCCTTTGAGTCCGACCAGCGCAGGCACCAGGATGAAAACCTCCGTTATCACCTTAAACACCTCCCAGTGCTGGAAGACACACATGGGACAATAAAATAAAATACTGAGCACACTGTTGCAGAACTTCACACAAAAACATTAAACACACAAATATAAATTCAGTCAATAACGATTCTTCCATCTTAATACCGACATATTTCTGTTCCACAAATCATCAGTGTCATCTCCATCATCACAGATGAACTTTCTGAACCTCGTCCCCTCCTGATGCTGTTAAATAAGCACATAACATATTCTGGACTAACCCAGTAGCCTACTTTTCCTGCTCCCGCCTCTCTGGGCTTCGCCTGACGCCACGCCACAACGCGCAGGTTCACTGGGTTTAGAAGCGGTACAGTTCACAGAGTCTGCCTCATATTTTCTAACTACAACTCCAGTTGGCAGGTCCAAGACGGTTTAGATCTTTAAATAGATGCACATATAAAAAAAAAAAAACACAACGCGGCTGCCAAGAGCAGAGTGATGTAGAGCACAGGCAGGCGGGGAGGCAGGGAATTAAAGATGAGAGGATGGACTGACAGAGCAGGCCGGAAATGGAGGAAGGAAAGAAGTAGGAGGAAGGAAAAAGAGTCAGATAAGGAGTTTGTTATAAAATGAATAAATGATCAATATTAGTATAATATAAACAACAATCATGATCCAGGAGCTTCTCTACCACATATAACTAGACATGATGCATTATTTAACGGCTGGTGTGAAAAACATCGTGCATGTTCACCTGTGCACACTGCAGAAGAATTGTCTTTTTAGCAAGTGTGTCCTTGTATGAACCTGGAAAGATTCATTTTTGCAGCAGATGTAGCTGCTTTTAGAGAGGAGCAAAAACACAAAGGCAAGGTGTACAGCTAAGTACAGTGGATATGCTTCTTCTTAGCTCCAATGATCAGCCAAGATATGAGGAAAAAAGACACATTTCCCATGAGCCCAAAATTACTGCAGGTTCATATCACCATCCCAACAGAGTTAACGAGTGAGTCGAGTGGCTGTTGCAAGTTTAGAGATTTTTAGAAGTAAAATTTACAGCTTACGTTTAGAAAACTTGGCTGACAACAGCCCAAAACACTTCCATTAGGAGAACCCCCAAACAAATGCACCAGAAAAAATGCTGCATGTCATCTTTCAATGTGCACATAAATAAGCTTGAGTGGAAATGCTGGACATTTTTAAAAACGTTGAAATATTGCAAAAAAAAGTTTTTAAAAACACAATACAACAAAGTGGAAAACAGTTGAATAAATCACAACCTCCATGAAACATGTGGCAGATTTAAACATTAAATCTGTGTGGCGTGATGAATTACTACATGACACAAACATAGATGCCGTATTTCCATTACCAATAATATAATTTCTGCCTTTTGAGCTGTACCATGTCAAAGGCGTGGTGGCAGTGATGAGGTTTGAGAGGGGCAGACAAGTCCAGGCGGGAGACTGGAGGGATAAGTGGAGGTAGAGTTGTGCTTTTTGTGCCTCGGTCTGCGCGCTCGTGTGTGTATCTATTTATACGCATCACGCTAAGGTTCTGGACTGGTAGGTCTAGCTGACGCCTGTCACTGGGAGGCTATCTTGGGACGTGGCCCACTTCTGCCTTAATACTACTGCTGCTGCTGCTGCTGCTGCTGCTGCTGCTGGGCTGTAATGGGCCAGAAGCCAAAACACTGATCTATTCAAGATCTCTCAGGAGGAAAAAAAAAACAATGTTGATTTTATTTTTGCTCTAAATGTCAATACAATTACTGATATAAATTCTTCATCACTGGAGACACCACTGTTATATCATCAGCATGTGTATTTTATATCCACACTGAAGTAAGAAATATTGGAACTACGGCGAACAGTGTGGACGTTTCCCTCTACTGCAGAATCAACTCTTCTTTTCTTAGTGATACCATGGTATCAAGGTTTCTTTTACCTCTCTCTGGCCTCCTCTCTTTCATCCTTCATCCACTAATTAAATTAACTGTTCACTTTTATCCCAAGGCTCTCCTCTGTCTCCCACATCTAAATCAGATTTGGAAAGCTCAGAAAGCTGCATGTTACACAGGGATCCGTCTGTTGAACAGGAAATAGCACTGCTAATGAGAGAAGCAGGACCGTTAAAATGAATGTATATGTTGTACCTGTTGTACCTGCTTCAATATTTCCATCCATCCATCCATCACTCCATCAAGCCATAGATAAATCCATCTATTGATTCGATTATCCATCCAGTTGTCTTGCCTGTTTTTGAAGGAAAAACTGTGCTCCATCTTCCCTCCATTAACCATCAGCCACTTTTCCCTCGTCACTCCCTCCACACATAAAAGACTGAGGTCAGAGAGCTGCCTGAGTCATGAACAAGGTAGATGGGAATGACTGGCAAATATCCAATATGTAATAAAAAGCCAACGTCACTGACCCCTAATTTATACTTGTGGATATGAAATGATACCGGCTGAGACCACACTCACCCGGGCTGCAGGCACAGTCCATCTCTGCCTCCCACTTCACTGTTACTGGGTCATTCTTAATACTCCAATGACCCATTCAAATGTTTATGGCAGTCTGTACACAGTAAGTCTGTACACTCTATATTATTCATCAATCTGTGCCACCATGATAAACTCTTTATGTAAAGTCAGTCCAACCAACCATTCGCCGATCCCCCCAATAACGCCTCCCTCAATAACCTCAACGCTTCTTTGGTACCAACTGAAAAGTGTCCACAGCACTGAGTAACTGCTTTATTCAGCGTTTTTTTACCAGGTTTAATCAGCGAGTGTGTTTGTTTTGGAGAGGAGGAGACCTCTGTGGATAATTCTACTACCGGTAAAAACCTCCTGGACGACTGACAGTGAGGGAATCCTAACCGGGAGTAGCTGACTGCAATGACGGCAATGGTGGTGAAGACAACAACTCCCATGACCCCACGCTACTTCATGATGTCACCAAACTCTTGTTACTATTTTGATTAAGAGACCTCTAGCAGCAGAAAATTACATACTATGCTAAAGTGTTTCCCAGCCCTTACCATACCTTAACCACAGTTTTGTCGTAACCACAATCTTTCCCTCCCCTTCACATTCAGTAGGTGCCATGTGCACATTTTGTAGAAAGCATCAAATTACAAGAAGTTGTACTGGATGTTAAAACTGGGAATTGGCAAAAAAAAAGGGATTAAGCCACAAAACAAAAATTTGAATTTGTATATGTCAAATAAGTATTCATAAAATCATATTGTTTTGGTATCAGCATCAAATTCGGTTATGGTATTGGCACTAATATCATTTACTTTAGATGGTACCCAACCCTATCCATCAACCTGTCAATCAATCTCTCAAAACATATTCTTTGTTAGACTTCCATACTTGTATAAGGTCCATAACGATACCAGCGGAGACCATGCCGAGCCCCGACACCAGGTACGGCACCATAACCTGAGCAGCGATCAGCCAGGAGCTCTCTGGTAGGAAACCATGTTCCGATCGAGTCAACTTCCACGTCACGCCACGTAACTTTTTGCCCTGGTAGCGTAGCTCCAGCTCCAGACGAGTCACCACCATGTTGAACGAAGGTTTATTTAATCACTTATTTAAACGTATTGTTATCCCATTGTTAGTGCGACTATCCAAATGTAAAGGTTGTTAGGGTGTTAAGACGAGGAGTGAGCAGGGTGAATGCTGAAGAAGAAACCAATCAATGTTGTTTTCCTTGGTTTAAAACAGGTCAAGGGCAAATGTTTCAAGCAGTCACTCAGGTCTCTCTTGAAGAGCTGAGAGACAGAATTTGTGAATGGTTGCTCCGCTCTTGAGGGATTACAAAGGTTGTTCTTGATTCATTCTTGACTGTGAACAAGTGAAACAATCAGCTTATATAAACCCTTTTGACCTCTGGAGAAATCAGCTGCTGCCATGACTTCAGATGTTCAGAAGAGAAAATCTAATTGTAAATGTGTAGACGATTGTCCCTTCATTTTCCATTTGTTCCATTTTGTTTCTCAGGCAAAATCAAAGTTAAAGGCTTCAACTCTAACTTCAGGGCAACGGAGTGTGGCATCTTTGGCCCAGTGGTGAGTCAGCAGTGATGAGGTATCCTTTTGTCAGCACCACTGGGGAACACAGTCATTAACACCATTTCTGATTCATAGGTCGTAACGTTCTCTACAAACAAAGATACTCCACATCCACCAGTCTCTTTAAGTAAAGGTTAGTCAGATGGGTTTGACGTCCACACACAGGTTAAAGAGAATGAACCTCACAAAGGAGTCCTGATTAAGTCGGATCTACATGAGAATCCATTTGATGTGATTCAAAGCCCTTTCAGTTGAGTTTAATGTTTGTTGGATGTCGTTCTGAATCCTTTTAATCCTGTCTGGAATCCACTTGACCTCCAGTGTAAAAGGCACAGCTGTATCCTGTAAGTGATAGCAGCGCTTGCCGTGACAGCAAAATGATTGACAGCGGCAAGAGGATGAAGAATTGTCCAAAAGGTCTTGAGAGTTAGAAGCGGCAGGATCCCTTCATGTCTTTGTCATTCCGGCCCATTCCTCTCTTTTGGGAGTGAAGAGGAAGACGAAAAAAGCTCCATAATGTCAGTAAGTGATGCGAGAGGTCCACTGACGAGATGCAGCAGCCAGCTCCTGGCAGGCTGGAGTGTTTCTTTCCTCCTGTCAGCATCAGGGTAGTCCTGCTCCCTCTGCTCTGCTCTGCTCTGCTGTGACGTAGCAGAGAAAGAGGCAGGGCTGTCTGCGCTGCCCGACATGCAAACTCATGAGGGAAATGACCGGCTTACCGCCTCACACTCTCCCTCCTCCTATTTTCTTGCTGCGTGTCTGCCTCTCATCCTACCTCCCTCTTGCCATGTGACATCCCTCTTTCTACGTCGGCCAGTCTTGCTGCATTTCTCTCTCCCCAGCATCCCTCTTTTTTCTCTCTCTCTCTCTCTCTCTATCTTTTCTATCCCTCTCTCCCTATCGTGACTCATTCATTCTCTCTGTCCAGTCCCTCCATCTCCACGTCCGGTTCACCTGCTACTGTACATTCACACTGTGATCCTGGTACTGTATCAGCTTTTTCTATAACACCACATGTAAGACCAAACAATCATACGATGCTGTGTGACTGAACGCTGCCCAGCTTTTAAGAAGCTGGACTGACCTAAAATATTGATTTCATAGCATCACAGGAATTACTTTTCTCTTCACGTTTTTCTCTTACATCCGAACATTTTTTTGCTCTCACTCTCTTTTTTTGAATGGAGGTAATGGGTTTTCTTTTCCTTGTTATTATTATCAAATCATACATTTAATCCCCACGTCAGCAGCAAATGTAAAATGTACATCGCACATTCATTGTTTATTTTTTTCCTTCACCTATGTAAGAATTAAGAATCAACCTCAGGGCACTAACAGTTTTAATGATAATAATAATAATAATAATAATAATAATAATAATAATAATAATAATAATAATAATTGACTTATTTATTTCTGTAAAATATCAAAATGTTGTTTATATTTGAACAAATATTCACTCCAATCATGTTTGTGTTTATCTAATTTGCATGTGTTGTATGACAGTAAACAATATAAATGTAGTACTGTAAACTCAAGGTCTGCTTACTAGCTTTTTCCAAAGCTAAAGGTAAAAGTATTATGGATGAAATAAGACATTGACATTTGTGTCACATGATTCATCTCCATGACAACTGAGCAGACTCGATGACAGTGTGTTACGAATGAATGCTTCAAAATAAGTTAGTAAGTGGACCATGAGTTGGCATAGTTTTCTCCAAAAGTCAAGAATGATGTAGAATCATGACATAAAACTTAAAAGTTTAAGACTCATGGTGATCGAGTGTTTGATCATTCAAAATCAAATCATTTTTATGATCTCTCCGGTGATTGTGAAGCACTTTCCAACCCGGCTTTTGAAGAATAGAGAATAAATAAATCATTTTTGATCAATCATCACATTGTACAGTAGACAAGAAGATCCATGCATCATCACTGTGGATGCATCCTTAGACTGACACATGATGTGTCTTTCTTTCTTTCTCTCACCTACACACCCTTCTCATTTATCATTTGTATGCAATAAAATAAATATAATCAACACCCCACACTCTTCTGTGTTAGAACAGTTTGGCATCATATCCGTTTGTCTCAATTAGGGGTGGGTGATCTGATGATCTTATATCATGGATGATCTTTGGCATATGACTTACTTTTCAGACGAATCCTACAGATTGCATCATTACAAGCTGCTATATTTAGATATTTGATTTTAAAAGTCCAATCGTTGCTAACCAGACCATTGTTAGCTGGTAAACAGGTAGCCCGCTAACTGCAGCTGGCAACGGCTGTCCTTGTTCTGCTCTACAGCCTCAGTGAGCTTGGCATAGCTGCTCATCTACCAATTCTCCACCAGAGTGAAATCAGGCCACCGTCACTAGCTGCGGTCCACGATGGTGGAGTTACAGTCTGTCCACGGGACCAGAAACCTGCCTGAAGGCAAGGTAACACAAAGCGGGACGAGCCAGGGCTAGTTGGTTAGCAACGACTGAACTTTCTGATTTAAACACTTATATATATATCACCTCATAAATAAATAAGACAGCATTGTGGGTGAAGAATAGCGGCGAGGGGACAAACATCCGAAAGAAGCATCAAAACAAAGGAAAGATACGAAATCACAACTTCCAGTCAGGACTTTCAAAATAAAATCAGAGCGGAAAGAGGATGCAGATATTTGTGAGTTGGGCCTTTAGCCTTGAGTTTTGTGTCCAGGCCATCAACCATATGCAAAACTAATCATGTGAGCACATGAGTTCAACTAAATGAGGTTACTCGTGATTCAGATCGTAGATTAAGATTTTACACAAAAAGACTGTCATATGATATTTTGGCCAGTTCACTCACCTCTAGTTTCAAACATGGACGCCCCAATCCTCTGGGAGGCTGACCAACAACAAACACCTTTACAGTGGGTTTACTGTAACTTTACCACCACAACACCAATTTACAGAACATACTGTACAGGTGGTATATCTAAATGGACTGACAAAGATGAGTAGTTGAGCCGGAACAGGAAAGAATGATGAGAGGTCCCAGTCCATTTCAAGCCAACAAGTAATGTTATGGAGGCGTCAGAAATATATTTCCATAATTGTGTAATGCAGCCCAAAGGCCCAAAGTAAATCTGAGTGAGCCACAACTTGGAACGCAATCAGAAACCAGTGAAACTGAAAGAGCCTGTTGGCAGATGCAGAGTGTAGGACGTGACATGTAGGACTACAGTTACAGGTATGACAAAGGATCCCCAGCCACAGGCCACAGTAATAATCCTAATAACTGACAGAGAAGTATTCTTGTCTTTATCTCTTTTCCGTTTCAGACAGCCTGCTCTCCGTGTCCTTCTACGTCCCCTGTGCTTTGAGACACAGCGCTCAGCCAAACCTGTGACTAATCGCCCTCCATCAGATGCAGGAGGGTAACGCACTCTGAAGAGGAGACAGTGGAGGAAATACTTATGAGCAACAGATGGAGAGAATGGAACGAGCCATACAAGGATAGACGTGTGTTTATCAGAGGACGACAGAGAGGAAGAAAGAGCTACCAGCTCATCATAAAGCAGACAGCAGTGTGTCTGATTTCCCTGAGCCCAGCTGGCTGCACTCCGAATGCCAGGGATGCCTGGCAGAGGATGAAGACACAGCTAGTTCTCTCACACTCACACACACACACACACACACCCGCACAGGTATCGACTCGACATCAATCAAAAGGGAAGACACGGACACACAAACGCACTCAAAGAATAGAGAGCCCTCAGGTGACGTCTACAACAAAGACTCCTGTGAAAACCTTCACAGCAGCTGAGATCAGCTGGTTTTCTTAAAGTACAACAACAACAATTTTCTAATACAATATTTCTCGATGAAAACACAGAGCGCAGAGTGTGGCTTGTTTTTGGTTTTTACGGTCGCTATCGAGAGGGGGGGGTGGGGGGGTGGAGGGGGTTGCTGCGGTTAGGACTAACCCTTTATGGTACGCACTCTACCAGGTAAGAGCATCAGGGGTATCATAGATTCCAAGGCTGATTGTTGAGACACTCACCTGTACACTGTCCAGCACCATGCCGGCCATCACCATGCCCATCCCAGCCAGCAGGTAGGGAAAAAGCACCTGGAGACAAATAACTATGGACGACTCCTCCTCCACCTTGGCCACCGGCACCTTCGGCCTCTCCACTGGCTGCTTCTTCGGGGGAGGCTGGAGGACCGGAGGTAAGAGGAGGTCATCCTGTCCATCTACGCTGCCTCCCGGGCCGGCACTGGGACTCCCACCGACGCTCTTCCCCTTAGAGCGCGACTTTTTGTTCTTTCTCCTCTGCCGGGTCTGCTGTGGTGGTTTGTCCTCACCAGGCATGGTGGCAGTGGTGGCTGTGACAGTTGGGACGGTGTTGTTTTAATCTGGGAACACAGAATTAAATGGGACATTAAGAGGGGAAACTGTTGTTTTATCACATTTGTAACCCCAAATGTAAAAAGGAGTAAAAGGTTAACAGACAAGTCAAAAATAAAACTTCATATACATCAAAAAGTAACACAGTCAGTTGGATGAGCTGGTAGAAATCTAGAGATCATTATCATTTCCTTTACTTCCATTCTGTCAACATCAGTTAAGATCCACTGACGTTAAACACACACAATGTTGTGAGTTAAACAGGAAATAGATAATAGCCAAGGAGCTGCAAAATAAAATGAACTAGTCATAGATAATGTAAGTAGATGAGTCAGACACATTTTTTGTTTGATTAATTTTATTAAGTGATTTCACAGGAAAGAATACAGCTTTATATTACTATTTACACTCCATTTTAATTATTTAACTTTCTGTATTATCAATATATTCAGTTCTAATTTTGACTCTTTTTTGTCTTTAGTCAGCTAGTTGTCAGAACAATATGTCTCTCTCCCTACACACGACCCAAAAATTACATCATTCACATCAAACATATTTTTAATGTTAATATTTTTAATCATCCTCAGATCCTTCAATCCTTCAAATGTTTCAGATCAAATGGTTCTTACTAAATCTGAATTATAAGCTTTTACATTTTTTTCTTAAATTCAGTTTCACACATGTGCAAAACTCTTTGCTAATGCAAAGTGCCCAGCTGCCACTGTGTTCTTACTTTTATAGACAAGGATATTGTCGTGTATTTTCTCAGTATTAAAACACTGCTAAGGTGAAGAACCACTAAGTACTTGCTTTCTATGTTTTCAGTGATTAAACTGATACCGTAAAAAAAATATCTGATGTGTACTTTCTTGTGTAAACACACACTTTGTGTTACACAACCTTAAATAACCAGAAGTCTGAGAGCAGTCAGTCAGTCATCAGTTTGACTTTTACAATGTGAAGGATTAAGTGTAAAGTCAGTCTTACATTAATTAATTACATTAATAGTATATGCAATAAGTGGATGAGGAATCCTGTTGTACAGAATTAACTGCAGGATTTTAAAACTTTATTCGAGGTGACGCTCTGATGAACTTGATGCTCGGTATTACCTCGCCTGAAAGCTGCTTTTCTCTTTGATGCTTCATACGAGTTTTGCATATTGAATCTGATGTGCGGCGGTGGTTTAACTGAGCGCTGGAGCATCTGTTTACATGATGGGGGCTGACAGCCCTCCAAATCACGTCAGGCTACCGGCGCCTTAAAACGAGGAATAAAAACATCCATACACACGATGTCGACGACAGAGTCCCGGAAACCTCGCGAAATGTCAAAACTTCATCTGCAGGTCCGTGAGACGAAAGACACGAGCGCACAGATTCACTGACAAACATTCCGCCACTGAAGGCTGCCATGTGTACATCCCATAATGCCACTGCCCCGGTAACCAATGGTAACCAACAACCAGGCGCTCTCTGATTGGATAGAAACAGAAGTAAAATAGTGGCAACGTGAAGCGCCGCCCCCCTGTGGAGAGAGTGAGAAAATAAAATGTGCTTTCATGGACTGTGAAGGAATCCCAGTGTTACATGTAGTGTTGACTGTGTTTGTGTTTTACTGTGTGTTAGTTGTAAAAGATGGATGAATCTTAAATTAGTATAAACTAATAGGGTAAAGGGTCCAACTCTCTTTTTGGACAGAACATATTGAGGTCATAATACAGATTTGATAGCTATACTGTAGCCTGTGTGAAAAGGACATAATAATAATAAAATAATTTCCTGGACACTGCTGATGAAACCACTGTGGGTTTTAGTGGGAGAAAACACCAGTGAAATCACAGTGACTGGCATGTAAGACATCCACTGCACAGCCATAGTCGCTCCTGTGTCTCTGCAGTTAAGAAAAAGTCTGTGGCAGGCACCGCTGATAATGAACACACATGCTCAGTCAACACACACTCATTAACTTGTGTTTGAAAAGCTCATTACTACAAGTTTTTATCTGGCTCCATAACTGAATCAAGCCTATGATACACACAGTGGAGATAAGTTTGTGTGTTAGAAGCTGAGATTTGATTTATCGCTCTTACCTTTGTCTCCGGATCTTGTGAGTGTGTGTGTGTGCACGGCTGAGCTCTCAAAAATAAACTGTGTATGCTTGCTATGCTGTGTGTATGCGTTTGAGTCTATATTAAGGCTATGTGTATGTCCTGCTTTCCGTTTGCTCGTGCATTTTTGTATGTACGTTTCTGTGTAAAGCTCCCAGTGTGTCTCTGTGTGTGTCTGTGTGTGTGTGTGTATGTGTGTGTGTGTGTGTGTGTGTGTGTGTGTGTGTGTGTCTGTGTGTGTGTGTGTGTGTGTTTGTGTATGCGGTGTATGAGCCAGTGCGCATGCATCATGGGGCACCGTCTTGAATTTCATGGCATTAGCAGATAAGGATATCCCCCTCCTGTCTCTTTCCATCTCTGGTGGACTGGTGACAGCAGCAGACAGCTACAGCAGTTTCACTCTTTCATTCATGGAAAGAATAAACTTTACAACAGTCTCGTCATGTTCAGCATTCCTGCAGAATTCCCCTTCATTAGTGGGGCCATTAACCTGTATGACAGACTGGATTCTTTTTTACTTACTAAAACATTAGTCAAATTGTCAGTCTTTTGTTCCAGTGTCAGCCCTTAAAGCCCAAAATTGAGCCATTTTCTTTTTTTCATGGCGTGGGTGATTTGTTTCCGTACACTGACCTGCATGTGTAACACAGAGCAGCATCATTATCTTGTTACAGGAGCTCACTGTTGCTTGTAATATGACACCTCGCTCTGCGCATGCTGTGACTTTTAATGGTTATGTCATGGTGATGTTGTTAATACCCTCGTGGTCTGGGTCTAAATAGAAACCTCACTTGTGTATTTCATTCACGCGGGTGACAGAGAGAGAATTTCTTCTTTTACTTCTACACTGAAACTGTATCTGATAACTAACTAACTGCTGGTTGTTAGTCATAACGGTACCAGTAATATGTAATGTATTGTGTCAGCTACTGCACTGTAGTGGTACAGCTACATTAAGCCTCACTGGTGTGAAGAAAATCTGTGCAGAACAATATTTACCCTCTTCCTATAGCTAAACAATAAATAATAGGATCCTGTCCTGTGTTTTTTTTTTAGAGTATCCTGGTTGTGCTTTTGTGGAGGTAAACATCCCGTCCTGGTTCTATAAACCTTTATAAATAAAGCCTCATCCCAGTTCTGAAAAACACAAATATGTAACCTAGTAACCCAGAAACTGGGATACTGTGCCATGTAAACACATTATCCAGGTTTGTGATGCCATGTGTGTGTGTGCGATGTCAACTCCAGATTATGTAGAGGTTATTTAACCTGCTTTGATTATTATTATTTTAGCTACTGGGGAGCAGGGTAACAACAAGACGTATCATCTTATAAAGTTGATATGGCAAATGTGTTATAAAACTGTATCTTATTTACACATTGTCATGGTCTCAGCCTGGAGGCTCCAGGTTTTTGGTTTTTGAACTTTCTTGGTTGGGTTTTCTGTGTTTTGGGTTTCTGTTCTGGGTTTTGAGTATTTCTGGTTTGGGTGTTTCTGGTTAGTTTAGTCTTTCCTGTCTTGTGCTCTGTTTCCCTGTGCACTTCCTGTTTTGTTTTGATAGTCATGTCACCCCAGTGTCTGAGTTCTAGTTTTGCTTCCTTTTGTTAATCATCCCTGATGTGTCCCACCTGTGTCTGCTTCCCCACCTGTTCTCCATTGTTAATCAGTTCCGTTCCTTTTAAAGAGCCCTTGTTCTGTCTTGTCTTGGTGGTGTCATTGTTTGTTGGTTGTGAGGTTTAATGTGTGTTTCGGCGACTCATGTTTGGACTTTGGTTTTTTTGGAATAAATTCTTTGACACTGCTACCTTCTCCGCATTTGGGTCCACCCCTTACCCCTACTTACCTCAAGCTCGTGACACACATACAGTGGACATTAGCATTCATTAGGAGTAGTGTTTCTCTTCACCCTCCTTTTATCTCTGTTTTTGGTCTCCACCAACCCTGGAGGGAACTATCTTCAACTTCAACTTCAACTTGATTGTCTCCATGGGGAATGATGCTGGTGTTGTCATTGAATGTCAGCTGATTATCAGTTATTTACCTACATACTTATAGCACTGAACCTGTTCAGTGAGCTGTCCCTTCACATCTGGCTCCGTATGGAAATGAAATGTGAATGCAAATGTGCTTTTTGCTGCAGCATATTTGACAGCACTGAGGGTACAACATATGTGTCTCACGAAGCTGTAATTTGCTTTGGGATATAAAGTGAAATTACCTCTGCTGGGTTTTTACCATATGGACAGTTCACCCCAATAAACTGCACTGAATTGATTCAGTATTTATCTTACTGACATGGTGCATTATGAAGCACTGGCTGTAGATGAATCAACATCCAGGCAGCTCAATAGGAAACCATATGGTAATCATTTAGACCACATCGCTGCAGAGTACGACTTACTATCCTTTCCATTGTTTCTGGTGAGGCTGCAGGACATCCTGATCCTCCTCCTGATCTTGTATCTATAGACAAGATCATCATCCCAGCACTAGTGTTTTTATTCCTGCTGCTCTGTAGCAAACACTGATAATTAACCACCAGCAGATGACAGTATTGAATGTTACCGCTTTCTCACTTACTAACAGTACACAATTTCACCACTAGGTGGTAGCATGGACTAAAGAGACAGATGCATCCAGTTCATGTCCCTGTTACTTTTAGGCACTTTTTAAAACAGGCAATTGCCTGGCAAAATTATCACCCACTTGCAACATTATACTGAAGCTAAAAACAGACCCCGGTGGAGAGACTTTGTTTTTATAAGTAGCCTACACTTGAACAGTTTAGACCTGCTCCTAACTGTTGCAATCAAAACAAAGAGTCTTGTAAAAATGTTCACTATATTGGAGTCGACAAGTATGAAGAGCAATTTTCCAAGATCTTAAAGTGAAAAAAAAAAAATCAGGTGCAGTTGAGTCTTGGTGGTATCAACAACATGGTGGTCTGTAAGGATGATCTGTCTGTAACAGGCTTTAAGTACTGGTCTTATTTAAGTTTATAGTAACACGATCCATGTTATAGTTATGGATTCCTATATCCTTCTATTCAGAGGTGGAAAGCCCCTGGAGGTTATGGAAATCTGGTTTACAGCCCCTCACTGTTTATTTTCAACTCATATTAACTATAATCAAAACCAGGAAAGACTAAAATTGCCTTCCCATGTGTACCGTATGTGTTTTGCGGTGTTCTTTTTCTTTGGCTTCAGATCACCGTGGCTGTGTGAGCCTTGGCATTTTCAGCACCTCATTAACGCCTTCATGCAGATGCAGTGCACATGCATGTACATGCAAGAACTTCATGTAGGAGTTACATCATTCAAAAAGGCATTTTTCTTTCTAACAGAGCATTGCAGACAAGTAACGCCAGCTTCTGTGGCAGTGCTTTTTATAGTTACACTGTAGTAGCAGTGCTATCCAAATTGCTTGGCTTGACCATTGTCACATTGTCAGTTTATGTAGAAAGAGATATGACATGTGTAATCTCTGAACGATGCAGTTACTTGGCTGGGATAAAATCCACATATCATTCCACCAATCTAATGTGACAATCTTTCAGTCCTGATCTGCTTTTGGTCACTTTCAGTAGTTACAAACATCACTGCAGCTGAAATGGCACAGGTGGCAGGAAACCCTATAACTCACTGGATGTTGGGTTGGACATTGGACTTTCATCTTCTACACTTTTATAATTAGAGATGAGAATCTATCTCTGAACCAGCAGCAGGACAATCATGCTGCGTTCAAACACATTGAACCTGGTTTTGGCATTGCTCTACATTTTTACTGTCAACAAAACCCATAGAAAGATCAGAATCATCAATAAACGGATCATAATAACAAGTAATGCTGTAAAACTAAACTGTTACAAATAAATCAGATCAGTGAGTCACACTGTTGTTTTGGAACAGACACATTTCCCATCCTGATGCTGTAAACACTCCCTAAACCAGCACATGTGTATTAATCCACCCACCAAATGCACTATGTCCTCGCGTTTGAATAACATTTACTAAAACCTACAGTGACCAGCTGTTTTTAGATATTTATCGAGCCATCTTTAAAAATCAAACTATATATCTGTGAGCTGTTTTCAAGGATTTACATCGTCAGTGAGGACAAATGGGTTTAAATCAGTGACACAGGCTCAGGAAGTCAAACAGTACTGAGGGACCAACACATGGTTCGTTTTGGTCAAAAAATCAGCAGCCTTTAAATCACATTGGAAATCCCAAAGTCTCTAAAGATACCAAACAGTTTACTTTTTTATTTTGGGGAAATGTGTACAAAGCCATGTGC